AATTATATGAAATGTTAAAGGGATTTACTTTAGAAAAAAGGTCAAAACTATGAACAATAAGGTGGCAATAAATATATATCAAAAGTTGAGTCTAAAAAACAAAGTAAGCAAATAAGAACAGAGGCAGAATCATGGATATGGAGAGTGTTTTGATGGCTGATAGAGGGGAGGGGATTGTGGGGGAATGGTTGAAAAGGTGAGGGGATTAAGAAGTACAAATAAGTAGTTACAGAATAGCCATGGGGATATAAAGTACAGTATACGAAGTGGAGTACCAAAGAATCTACTCATGACCTATGGACATGAACAATGGTGAGGGGACTGCCTGAGGGAGTCGGGGGTGCTGGGTAGAGGGAGGCAAAGGGAAAAACTGGGACAACTGTAATAGCATAATCAATAAAATATAATTTAAAAATAACTTTAAAAAAATTACAATGAGGTACTACTACACACCTATCAGAATGGCTAAAAATAAAATAAAATACACTGCCAAATGCTGGTGAGGATGTGGAGAAAATAGATTCACTCATATGTTACTGGTGTATTACATCCATTCTGGAAAACAATGTGGCTGTTTTTTTAAAAAACTAAACAAGCAAATACTATACAACATAGCAGTTCTCCTGGGCATTTATCCCAGAGAAATGAAGATGTGTTCACATAAAAATTATACCTGCATATTTATAGCATCTTTATTTATAGTGGCCCAAAGCCAAAAACAACCCAGATATCCTTCAACAGGTGAATGGTTAAACAAACTGTGGTGTATCGATTCTGTGTTATAATACTCAGGTAATTATGCTGAGTGAAATAAAAAAGCTAATTCCAAAAGGTTATGCACTGTGAACTATTTATATAACATTCTTGAAATGACAAATTTGTAGAAATGAACAGGATAGTAACTGCTAGAGGGTAAGGAGGAAGCTGGAGGCCGGAGGGAGTGGGTGTGGCGGTGAAAGGGCAACATGAAGGATCCTGGTGTTGGTAGAAATATTTTGTGTATTGACTGTATCAAACATTCACATTCTGGTTGTGACACTGTATTAATAGATTTGCAAGAGGCTACCATCGGGAGAAACGGGGTAAAGGTACATGGGGTTTCTGTAGTATTTCTTACAACTACATGTGAATTTATAATTGTCTCAAAAATATTAATTTTAAAAAGCAACACAAGAAACTATTAGGGAAAGTATAGTTTGAATAAATAAAACTTTTACCTCCTGTCGATCAGAGAATACCACAAAGTGTAGAGGTCAATCGTAAACTGGAAAAATACTTAACAAATATGACTGAAAAGAAGTGATTTTTTAAAAAATTGTTTTTAGAGAGAGAGGAAGGGAAAGAGAGAGGGAAACATCAATGTGTGGTTGTTTCTCTCACGCCCCCCACTGGGGACCTGGCCTGCAACCCAGGCATGTGCCCTGACTGGGAGTCAAAGTGGTAACCCTTTGGTTTGCAGGCCTGCGCTCTGTCCATTGAGCTACACCCGCCAGGGCAAGAAGTGATTTTTAATATATAAAAAGTTCTCTAATTTGGAAAACAGTGATATCTTCCTATATAAGCAGTGCACAAAAAAATGCAGCTGGCTACAAAACATATGAAAAGGTATTTCAATCTCACTAGTAATCAAGGAAATGAAAATTGGAATTCCTTTTTCCTCCAAATTGTAAATGTTCATTATATAATCATGTTCCCAAATAAGGTAAAATCCTTATCACTTTATTTTCTACCTACCTCTCAGGTGTTGGGGAATTTTAGCTACAAATCATTAACTTTTAAAGATATTAGCCTTTTCTGATTTAAGTATGTAACAGTGGCATTACATTTCTAACCACATTCTCAAGTTATTTTACATCAATAATTCTCACTCCTTGTTTGCCAGTTTCCTGTATACAGTATCTTCTTTAGTGAATTAAAATTCTTTATTAATTTTTGTATTTGTCAGAATACTTTCTTAAGTACCTCTCCCATCCCACCCCCATATAGAGTGGTATATTTTCTGAATACTTGGATATATATACATATAATTTTTTACCTTTATACAAATAGTTTGTGTTTATTTACAAATAAAAAAATTATATGATCATGCCATTTTCCTGTACAGACATGAAAGCATTACTTCATTGTCCACATTCATTGATGTCAAAGACGAGAAATCCTGTCTAGTCTGCTGCTTTCTCTCAGTAGGCAACCTGCTGTTAGTGAGCTTGGTTTGGTTTCCGCCTGGGAATCTGTGTTTTTGTACTTAACATTTGAGTTTGGGCAGGTGCGCTGGCATGTGTCTCAGTATGTATGAATGTGTGGATTTTTTCATAGTGTTTTTATCTAGCTTTTATAGTTCTTTTAAGCACTAGTTCTTAAAAGCACTATAGTTCATAGTGCTTTTATCATTTATAATTTATAATTTCCTTGGTTGTTGCTTTCATTTAACCTACTCTGCCTTCTCGTTCTAGAATTCCACTAGTTTTGAGATTGGATATCCTGGATCAGTCTTCCATGCAACTTATCTTTTTTCTTATAATTTTTGTTTCTTTGTCATTTTTATTTTTGCCTTAGAGACATCCTCAACTTGGACTTCTAATATACTAATTTGGTTTTTAGCCATGGCCATTTCAATCTGCTATTTTCTTCCTTCATTGAGTTTAAATGTTTGATGTAATGATGCCTTTGTATTTCGAATAGCTCTCTTACTTCATTTTTGCTCCCTTTTTACACTGAAGCCTGGTTGGTTTTATTGGTAAATTACCCCTCTGAATATTACTGGGAACAGCAGTTCAAGTTGACTGACATTTACTCCTGTTTCCCGCATGGATTGCTTTTTAGGGGCTCTCTGCAGAGTTTGCTTCATTTTGTTCCCCTGTTTTGAACTTCTGATTTACTCATAGGACCAGCAATATTTTGTTGCTTTTTATATTTTTAACGGAGTTCTTGAGTAGCCACTAATGTTGGATGACAGGCTGCCTCAGCAGTTGTGTGAGTCACTATTTGATTTTCTTCAGCAGGCCTCCCTTCTTAAACCAAAACAGATAACCATGTTCTTGGTGTCGGGAGAAGACGGGAACAAGCCAGGAAATGGACTTCTCTTAAGCAGTCGGTGGTTGAGCATGTGAGCTGCTCCAGCCCTGCCATTGGCCAAAGAGGTAGTGAGGGCCTCGGGCAGCTGGACACCATTCCAGCGAGCATTGCGTGCACAGCGCGTGCGCCTGCAAGTTAAGGTCCTGCCAGTGACTGTGCGGATGGGATAAGACAGACATTTTTTTATGTCACTGGTAGAACTAAAAGTTTGTGCCATTCTTCTGGAAAGCAGTTTGGCAGAGTGTAAAAAAAGGCTTTTAAAATGTCCATTCTCTATGGTCTTCATAGTTTTCATGTTTCTTGAAGTGTATCTTAAAGAAACAGGGAAGTAGAAATAGATTTATATGCAGAGCTCTTACCTGCTAGGTTACTTACAATAAGGGAAGATTGGAAAGAATCATGTCTTCCAGAAGAGGCGGGGTAAATCAGATCAGTTAGGTGTAGCTGTGTGATGGGGTATTTTGCAGCCAGCTCTAAAATACCTAACGACATGGAGAAATGCTCATGATACAATGTTAAAAAAAATTGATATAATATTTTTTATACAATATGATCCTTTATTAAAAATATGCTTATATAGGATAAAAAGGTCAGAAGTGATACAACAAATTATTATCAGTGGTGGGATTCTAGGTGATTTGTGTTTTCTTTCCACAACTTCTGTTTTTCAAATTTTCTACAAGTCTCTATGACTTTTATAATCAGAAAAAAAAAACAGTAAATGTTGTTAAAAAATGTCTCCTCATATTCTACACTGCACCAAAAAGATCTGCTTTTCAGAATTTGTAGGCAGAAAGTGGTTTACGCTAGGGCTGAGTTTGCCGATTATCACAGTGCGCACACGGATGTTGAATCCAGCTTCCCACGCCAGGAGGGAGCGCGCCGCGGCTGCCAGCTTGGCCCATCTGTGCCCAGGCTCCGCTCGGCTCGGCTGACACAGATTTATTATTTCATTCTTTAATTTGGCAGCATTTTCTCTTTTCTCATTATCGTAACTGGAATTCAGTACCAGCATCACTCACTTTGTTTACCAGGTTGTTGTTTTCTTTTGTTCCATTTTGCAAAGATGAAGAAGCCAACAACAGGAATTCTGTGTCGTGAAAATGCAGTGCTTGTCCTCTGGGATCTCGGACATGTCTTGCTAAAGCGCTGTCTGTTTCTGACACTTGCAAGCCATTTCAATTTTTTAAATTAGTTTAGTAGGAGGCTTCTTTTCAAAGAGCCTAGCATTCCCTCCCATGCGTCCACCCCTCCCATGCGTCCCCTTCTCCCCAACTTCCTGGAAAGATTTGGAAATGGTTACGAATAGAAATTATAAACATTAACCCTGGCTGGTACGATTCAGAGGGTTGAGCTCCGGCCTGTGAACTAAGGGGTTGCTGGTTAGATTCCCAGATCAGGGCACATGCCTGGGTTGTGAGCCAGGTCCCCAGTAGGGGGTGTGTGAGAGGCAACCACACATTGATGTTTCTCTCCCTCTTTTTCTCCCACCCTTCACCTCTGTCTATGAGTAAATAAAATCTTAAAAAAGAAGAAATTATAAATGTTAGCCTTGAGCTGTATACTCTGTCCATCTGGTGTTTTGTTTTGTTTTGTTTTCCTGAGGGCTGTGTTGTTTGCTTAGTCTTCATCAGTACTGCAGAAGCTGGAGGTGTGAGAGGTACAGTTTGCCCCTAGCACCCTGAAGGGATTTTCATCTGAATGGGTTTGTGTTTCAAAGAGCACTGGGTCAGCCAGACTGCTAAGAATTTACTCAAGTGAAACTTTAGAGTTGTTAGTCACCTGAGAGAGGGTGTTTTTCCTGAGGGATGTCTTGAATGGATTGGTTGGGATGGGGTGGCTGCTGCCTGAGAGGCCTCTTTGAGCCTGACACTTTGCTTGGAAGAGACAATCCTTGTAAGACTTTGTGCTACTTTTCTCTCTAGGTTACCCTGAAGAGACTTACCCAATTTATGACCTTTCAGATTGCGTCAAGCGTAGGCAAAAAACAATCCTGGTGAACTACCCTGACCCAGAGGAGCCCTCTGCTGAAGAAATAGCGGAAAGGATGGGAGTGCCGGAAGAATCCGACCACTTGGTCTGGGAAACGCCCACCAACCCCAGAGCCTGGGAAGACAATTCTGTCACCTCATGTGACCCAAAGCCAGAAACGTGTTCCTGCTCTCTTCATGAAGAAGAGGACCCCGCTATCTTGGCAGAGAATGCTGGATTCACTGCAGACGGCTACAGTGAGCAGGAGGAACCCACCGCAGACGCGTGGCCCTGGGACTTCGGGGCAGAGGGGTTGGGCATCTGTGCCCACCAAGCAAGTACAGGGGACACCTTGAGGAAGCGGAACCCCGAGGGCTTAGAGTGAAAACAGCCAGTTTGGGGGAGTATCCATTACTCCAGCCCCAGGGTGACCTGTCTCCCTCTCTCAGACTTTATCCTCGGCCCTGTGCTTCCTCCCTAGTGTTTAAATGTCATAGCCAGTCAGGTGACAGCCACAGATATCGCTGGTGCGAGCACCCCCTGGTGCTCCCTTACCTGTCACCTTGTAAAGCATCATAGAGTAGTAGGAACACAAGATGACCTTGCTCTTTTGTCTTCCTGCCTTTCCTCCATCAGAGAATTGATCTACTAGGTAATTATGGCTGATCTGTCATAATTACAGATGGGACCATTCAAAGGCAGAGGTCCAATACTTCGCACTAGGAGTAACAGATGGTTCCCCTGTGAACGAACATCAGTTTACACATGGTGAGGACTTAAGGTTGCAGAGCGAAGATCTCAGAGTCCAGGATGCCTTATTCTCTGGGCCTTGAGCAGGTTAGTGGTCCCCTGGATTTAAGAGAAGAACATTTTGTTTTGGGGGATGATGGAGCCAGAGCAGGGTGGGACTCTGCTTTCTGAGCTGAAGCCCCTTCCTCACAGGAAGGGCTGAAAGACATGCACTGTCCTGAAAATGAGCCCAGGGGTCTGCTGGGGGGCTGTTTTGCTCTCATGCTGCCTGGATCTCTAGCTTCCTTTGTCCCTGTTCTGCACAACAGAACTGCCAAACCCAGAAGCACATCTGTACCTCTTGTCTTCATTGGCCAGAGGAAGCTTTGGGTAGAGACTTTAGTCCTCGCCCTGCAGAGCCAGGGTCTGAGGCTGAGGGGAAGCCTGCCCAAGGGTAGTGGTCCTGCTGTGAGCCTCAGAAGGCCAGGGGGCTGGTGACAGCTGTGGACGGTCCTTGCCTTGAAGCTGTTTTTGAATGTTGTGAATTTCCTCTGGGAAATTCATTTCCACAATCACAAGACTTGAAAGAGAAACAACCAGGTCTGAGCTTATAGACAAAGTGCCAGCCCAACAGGGAAGTTGCAGAGTGTCTGTTGAGAGAACCAGCATGGCAGTGCCCAGGGGAAGAGACCATTAGACTGTCTGTATTCAGATATCTGGGTCTTCTGAGAGCCGGCAACAGTAGGAAGTGGGTTAGCACTGGGAGGATTTTGGCCAAACTACAAGCCTAATTTCTAAGCTGCCATCTGTCTTCTTAAGGTAAGACGGCAACCACATACTCTGTCTAGTAAGGATGAGCAAGTCCAGTTCACATGGGAGACCTGTGGTTTTAAAGAGGATGCATCCCTGAGGGCATTCCCAGTCATGAAAGGTGGAAGACTTGAAATTTAAGGAATCGTATAAAGGCAGGTGTGGCTTGTAGAGTTCCATTGTTTCTGTCCCGAGAGGCCAGGAAAATACTTTAAATTACACATACAGGCATACAGACTGCTGTCAGAGGTACGGGATCATACTAAGGTAGTGTCGGTTACTGCTAGACAGTTCTTGTTTGTCAGTGAACCACAGAGAAGTCGCTGAAGATTGAGTCTTTAGGAAGTTTATTGAATCTGCCTTTGTGTGGAACATTCGATTCACTTGTACAAATGGAGTTTAAAATGTGCTGAGAACAATCTACACGTAATGGAATGCTAAAGGTAAAAAATAATGTAGGTGCTCTTTACTCTTGGGATAAGTTGTTTTTCATGTCATTTCCCTTCAGACACAGTGAGGGGTTGATTTGTGAGGGGAGTCCTGGGCCCCTGTTCCGAATGTCTTTCCTGCCTTAGGATGTGATGCCCTCATTAGAGACACGTGTTACCTTCTAGCTAATCCACTCACTTATTCACTTGGCAGACACCGCTCAGAACTAGGCAGTGGGAACAGAAGGTTCATTTCCTACCTTTTAAAAACTCAGTTTAATATGGGAGCCTTATCCAATTTATTTTTTTAAGTGAACTATAAACTACAAAAGGGCTCAAGATCATGAATTCTGCAGGCAGAGAAGTGTCCGTCATGACTCTGTCCTCGCCTGTTCTGACTGCAGGCTCTTGTCAGCCCCTGGAGTCTTGGCTTTCTCTTCTCTACAGTAGGGGGTCTCCGGGCAGGGGTGGGGTGGGCTGTGAGCGTTAAATGACGTCATCAGTGCCTGTAAAACAGCACCGGTCCTGTCTGGTGCGTGGTAACCACTTGGTAAGTGGTAGCTAAGGTTCTGTGCTATATAACTGAGATAGGGACCCACATCTACAGAAAAACAGAGACTTTTTGCCAAAGTATTTTGCAGAGGATGTAGATTTTGAGGCATGCTGAGAACTGAGGACTTCTCCAGGTGAGCAAGGAGGAGGACATTTTGGCAGAAAGTGGTGTTGAGAAAGCAGTGAGGTGTGGAAGTCAGTGGTTGTTCAGGTACTTTGAAGAGGCTGCTGTGTAAGGTGTTACATAACCAAGTCCTTATTTTGCGTGTTAGTCTGTGGGGGAAGCTGGCATGTGGACGTACTTCCTGCAGAAGTACAGGAGCTCATGACGGCTCCTGCTGCCCTAGGCCTTGGTGGGCGTGTACAGCAGGAGTGTATGTATTTCTGTCTCGGAAATTTTATGTACTTGTCAATCACTTCCGATTAGACAGTCTTTTTGCATTTCTGGAGTTGTTTTTTCCTCCAGGAGTGACAGCTGCATGTGAGTATACAGCTCAGGATGACCAAAATCATGGCGCTGGCTTCTGTTATCAGCCTGATGCCTCTTGGCTCGTTTCTCAGAACTGGTGTAGGCTGTGAACTCGGTCGCTCCCCTGGCACTAGGTCTGCCGCGGCCTTGGGCCACTGTGGCAGGGCAGGCACACCTCGGGGGGCAGTCGGCCTGGGACACAACTGCAGCACCTAGGACTGTGCTTGGTAAATCAGGCGGGTGACCCAGCCAGGAGATGTTCTCTGTTGGTCATAACAGGAGGCACAAGAAAAGCACTTCTTTAGCAACAGGACTCGTGATGGATGGGTGAGCTCAGGAAGTGAGGCCCAGGGAGCTGTGTCAACAAGCAGAAGCACGTTTGGCCTCTGGAAAAGATGGCCTGCACCTCCTGTAGCTTGGGTGCCAAACAGCTTATGGTCCAAACTGGGAAACTTGGGGAAAGGGAGCTTTGATGGTAATTATGCCAGGATAAAAGGTATACACCAGGACTGTCCTAGACGGAGGGTCTCCCTGTCTATGGTGTCTAAAAGATTTCTCCTTAACTGGACCACGAACAACAAACCCTCTCTCACCTTATCCCCTGCATGTGCTATCTCCTGCACAGGCAGAGCCAAGGAGAGAGGCTCTAGTTCCCGCAGGAAATGCTCTTGCCTACAGAAGAACTCCAAACTGAGGGTGATAAACCAGGCCTCCTTATTACTGCATTCTTAAAATGTCCCCTTAACCCAGACCCTTAACCCAAAGAAACATCTAGTACTTCATCGACATTGAGGAAAAACAGGAAGTAGCCATGCTGTTTTCTTCACCCTTTTATACAAATCTTTCTAAATGCACCTAACCTTTCCTTCTCTTTCCCATTTTTATACAAATAGGACAAATTCCTTTTTGTTAGTTTATTTTTTCTCTAGCTCTGGTTTCCTCATCTGTGAATTCAGAATACTCCCCACCTTGCAAGGCTGCTAGGACGAGAGGAGGGACGGTCTGCAGCGCGCCTGTCCCAGGGGCCTCACGCCCTGGGTGCTCGGACTGCGCTGTGGCTGTCGTCAGGTCCTGGGCGGCCGCTCTGACGCCCTCCAGACTGCGGGCGGCCAAGTGTTGACCACCTCCCTTGGGGTCAGACTGTGCTCTTTCACCCCTGCTTCCCGCCGCAGCAGCAGCCTCCCTCTTGCTTGGCTTTGGACCTGCCACTGGCTGGAAAGAAGATTCCCAAGCATGTCCGAGTTCCGCTGAAGTGGGTCAGGCCCTGAGTGGGGCCAGAGGAATCAAGTGGCTGGGTCTTCTTCTAACCTGGGCCTTTCCACCTTTTTAGCTCGATGGCCAATTTTTGCTCCTAACGGCCAGGGCCACAGGGGGATACTCAGGAACCAACAGCCCCTTTCCGGCTGGTACAGCTGACCCATACTTTCGGTCCTTAGCATTCTGCCAGCCCTCCCCAGCCTCTGCGTGTGGTTCTGAGCATCCTTAAACGTGAAGAGCACAGGGAGGACAGCTCTGACCACCTGTCATTGCTTCCAGACAAGCTGTGACGCCCTTGTTACCACCGTCCTCACCCCTGAGGCTCTCAGGACAGACGAATGAATGGTATAAAAAATGTTTTTTCTCCTTTTATAGGAAAAAGAAAGTATACAGTAGTGTTGAAAGAGTTCAAGTTTAATTTGATATATGGTCTGTACTTTAGACAAACACTTAAGTTATACAACGTACATAATGTCAGCATGGGAAAATACCGACTTTGTCATTGCACATACCAATAAATACATACATTGATCCCGAATACCAAAGAGTTTATTCAAAAAGTCAATAAAAGCACAATTTTGCAAGTTCATCTAAAACTCCAGAGGACTTTGAACAAAAATAAAATGTCTGACCACTCGGAAATAGGGAAAGACAGGCTTGTGCAAACAGACACACACATCCTAAGCACTGCGACAACTGGCTGACGCGCCCGCCCAGCCGAGGCCCCTCGTTACCAGAAGCGGGAAGGCGGCCAAGTCGGGCTTCCCTTTCCGAGCCGCCCCTAGTCACTCCCTAGGGAACTCTGGATCTGGGTCTCGGCCTAACCCCAGCTCTGCCTGGACCTTGGTGAGAGAAGCGGGGCGGGGCAGTGAACAGAAGGGAAAGAAAAAGGCACAGTGACGAGCTAGAAAAGGTAGTGATGAAAGCACGGGCTGTGTTCATCCGCCCCGACCCTCCCGCAGACGCTGACGGTCCACCCCTCGCTCAGTAGATGAGAAAACAGACCTAGAGAAGTTACGTGGTGTGCTCAGAATCACGTGGCCACTGAGTACAGGACTACTTTCTGTGAGAACAACCAAACCCGCCCCGACACTTCCGCTCTGCCCCTCCCCCCCCCCCCAATATCCTGAGACTGATGGGAGGGCTGGGGTCCAGTCAATGCACACTGTCCTTTGGCCTGTTCCCGGGGCTGCTGCTGGTCAGCCAGCCAGGACCTGGGGCAGGGGAGTCCAGCCCCCTTCGTGCTGGGCACCTGCAGAGGTGTGCAGAGGGCCACCTGGCAGCCTGAGGTCACCATGGTGTCTTGACCAGGGTGAAGCATTCTGGAGAAGGGAAGCCGGGACTCCCTCGGGAGGTGGGATTGTGCTTGCGTTACAGAGCCGGGGATGTAGCACCCTGCAGCTCCCTTCCTGTGGACCCCACCATTAGGGGAGCAGGGACCTCTTAGTAAAATCAGCGCTTTTGCTTGTTAAATTCAGAGCCACCTCCAAATTGAAGGCAAATACCCCACTATTTACAGAAAACCTTCTGCCTCTGCAGTTTTCTTGCCCTCTTTGTCACTAGAGGAGCAGACTCCAGAGGTTCCCTTCTAGCCTGCGATCACCACACTCCCTGGCTTCCGACACCTGTCCTCACACGGGCCTGGACCTTGCACGCTCCTTCCGAACGAGTGTCGTGATTTTTAAGGCACATTCACCAGAGTATGTTCATATTCGTCCAAAGGTATGCGTACAACACACGGATTCCTCAGGCGACGCAGAATGGGAAGTGATCAACTTCCTCAGACGGCGTCCTTCGGATCAGAGCCCTGGGAGAGAGGCCACTCTCTCACCAGAGAGCACTGAGTGAACGAAACCTACAGGTACACCTTACGCCTTTCCTCTTCGTTCTCGGAAACGTGATCGTCATAACGAACTTCAGTTGACTGCAGGTTGCCCTTCCTCCCAAATACACACAGACACAGAGAGATGCAGACACACAGAGCACCTTGGAGCCAGAAGGAATGAAAAAGATCAGGGAAGTGGACTTCACCGCTCTGCACAAGAACTGTTTAGGGCAGAGGGTGTCGAGATTTTGCGTGTGGCCCCAGAAGAAGTTGCAGAGCCAGGAGCAGTCACCGAAGAGCTGCCTGAGGTCCCACCTGCCCAACACCCTTAGGGACAGCTCACTCCATTATCATTCTCTGACCAACGAAGACCTCTTCCTATGGGAGGAGCTGAGCCCACGTGGGCGCCAAGGTCCTTGGCAGCTTTGAGTCTTTGGGCCCATAGCTGTGAGGCCAGTGGTCAAGGAAAACCAGCCTCACCAGGAACGGGGTTGTCAGAACAGACTCGCCTGCTTGAGACCCAGCCTCAGACTCAGCTGCTCTCGCTTCTCACTCTGTGCCCAGCAGAGGGTCTTGTTGTTGAGCTGCCCTTCACAGCTGGGCTAGAAAGCTCGGCCCACATCTCTGACCCTTCCAAAATACCCAGCCAGGCCCTTGCATGGACCAGAGGAGAAAGCAGGAGACGGGAGCTTGTCATTGTGCTTCTGACGTTCCCACTCTGCCTCCAGGACCCCCGTCTTCCTGGGAGGCACACCTTAAAGTCACAGGCCCAGAGGGACACTCCGGCCGGACATCAGAGATCATCTGGTTTCTGTAATTCCAAAGTCAGCAGGTCGGAAAGGGAAGAACCTAACTGGGACTTTGGAGATGAGGGTGGGCCTACAGCATTTCCTGGGAAGTGGACCAGCCCTGTACGGAAAGTTCTAGAGCCCTCAAAATGGTCCCAAGGAAAGAGCTGCCTAGAAACTAGACCACATCAGCAAAAGCGAGGTCGCCGGAGGTGTGGGCAGGCCAGCGCGGTGAGGCGCATGCCTCGATCTCAGCACCCAGCACAGGAAACCCTAGACAGCAAGGGAGTGAGAGCCTACTACTTCCACTTCCGTCAAAACCACTCCTTCACCTCATTACAGAGCCTCGCCTGCGGGTTTAAGTATGACTTTGTGATGTTTTCATCACTTTCTACACAGCCTCTCCAAGCACATCTACTCTGAAGTGAGGAACAACTAAGTGCTTGCCACGGGTTTCTGGTCTCCATCTGCGCAAGCAGCCTCCACCAGGGTAATGGACGAGAACTCAAGAGATGAGAGTTCCCCAGTCAGGAAGAAGGCCAGCGGGGGAGGGAGACCTTAGAGCACGCACGCAGGCCCCGCACACGGAAACAGGAGGCAGCCTAGCTAGGCCTGCGCTCTGGGGGGCCACAGAGGGGTCAGTCCTGATCAGTGCAAAGAGCCAGGCAGCCTTCAGCGGGGAACTGCCCAGCCTCCAATGGAAATGGTTTCAATTCCACACGTCAACTCTGACATCGCTGCTCTGGAATCAGGCCAAGGGGTGAGGGCACCTGGACTGGGCCCCAGAAGGTCCCCAAAACCACAGAGAGTGGCTGCTTGGGGGAGGGTGGGAACAAAGAAATCCAGTGAGCTGAAGTTCGGAACTCTGTCACTAACCAGCCAGATGACCCAGAGCAAGTACCATTTTCTGGTGATTTGCATAAGGTGACAGCTGTACTAGTTCATCTCTAAGGGTCCTGCCACCTCTGATCTCTATGGTTCTAAAACAGTCCCTGCTCTCCTCACCCTACCCCATTCCTTCCCGAGAAGGACCACACAGAGAAGCCTCAGCAGCCCCGACCTGACCTACATTGGCTGCAGCAGGGGCTGCAGCACAAGCAGGAGCACCTGCAGCCTACCAGCCACAGCCACAGGCACACCTGCCTGCCTCCCTACCTGCCTCCCTGCGTGCAGTCCAGGGCTGGTGACCAGGCCCCGCACACCTTTCCCGTGCAGAGGCCGGGGCAGCTGACAGGGTTCCCCAGACAGCCTGATCCTGGACACCTGTTCCATGCGCCTCCCGGATGCTGAGCCTGTGTCTTGCAGGCCCCATCCTCTAAGACATCTGGCCTTGAGGACTGGCCTCTTGCTGCCTCCTCCCAGAGAGAAAACCTAGAGAAATCACATGAGCTACAACCCTAGGCTGCCAGCCAATTCCCACAGCCAGGCCCCTGCAATCTGGACAAGGTCCTGCCACTTACGCCCGACCCCAGCAAACTCGCCCAGGCCTGGCTGAGGCCTCCTGAAGTCGGGACTTGCTGCAGTTAAGGGCCAGGCTTGGCTGCCATGCCTTCTGCTGTGCGAAGGCAGTGTGCCCTCCAACACACACACACACACTGTGCCCCTCACGGTCAGGGATCCGTGGTCATGGCCTCCAGGCTGAGTGGGCGGCTGGGTCACGGCAGCCCTGCCCTGTGCTTCCTCTCTCTCCACTCCTCTCCCTGCCTTCCCAGCTGAAGAGGTGGCCTGGCTTGGCAAAGGTGACTGCAGCAGCATACTAACCCAAGAGTGGGTGTGTTGCTCCCAGGGCACAGAAAGAATTCACTCTGGTCCCTTACACGCCCCCACTCCTCTGCCTCAGCAGAGGAGGCAGAGGAGCCAGTTCCTGGCTGGCCCCACCAAGGAGCTGCTGAGAGCCAAAGGTTCATCTGGCAGGAGGCCTATGTACAGGGGGCAGGCAGGGCTGTCTCCTCAGGCAGGCAGTTCCACCCCGGGCTGGGCAACCCCAAGGGCACGAGGAGACCTCTATTCACAGGCCAGCTTGCTGTCAAAGCTGGACAGGGCGATGGCGAAGGCCTGCAGTGCGCACAGTGGGTAGTTGTAATCCATAGTGAACACGTCCTCTGCCACGCGGCCGAACTGCATCACGATGTAGTCCGCTGGAACCAGGCACGGGTGCAGACAGACAGGGAGACAGGGTGAGTACGGTAGGGATGGGGAAGGATGGACAGACACCCAAGTGACAGGAGAGAAGAGAAAGTGAGAAGCAGCAATGCCAAGGGAACCCCAAAGGAGGTAATACACAGACCGAGTGGCAGAAATGCAGGAGAGAGGGGGCAAATGGCAAAGAATGGCACACAGACAGTAGGAGACAGGGAAGGAGCGAGCGAGTCCACCCCCAGGGTATCCCCACACCTGAGACTGCGGGGTGCCCAGAACCTGGGGTCAGGGCTCCAGAGAAGGTTCTGTGAGGACATGGTTCTTGATATCTGGTCTAAGCCATGTAGCCAGTGTCCTTAGGCACTGGCCTTTGCGGGCGGGACTGGTGAGCTGGACCCCAAGCTCAGAGCCCCGGCTAGCATGAGGACAGCAATGGGTGAGGGCTGGAACACTCACGATCATTGCCATGGATGATCTGAAAGTTCTTTACAGAGGCCTGTGTGACGCGCCCATGGAAGTTGAGTACGTAGGACTGAGTGTCATCATTCCAGACAGGCGTCTTGTTTTGTAGCTCGATGATGGTCTCCGTGTGCTTATTCTGCCAGCGCGCTAGCAGCGTCTCGTGCTCCTGGGAGAGCAGGCACCCCTGAGCCAGGCCCAGGCCCCTCGGCACACGCCCAGCCCAGGGCTCACGGGGTCTGGCTCAGGAATGGCAGTCCTTCAACTTCCCTAGACCCCCAGGGCTCTGCTCACGCTGCCTCCTAAGGCATAGACGCACCAGCTGGAGGTCTGCCCTGAGAAGCGGGCACCGCACCCAGAGGCTGCCAGGGCGGTGGGGGAGGGGCAGGCGGGGTAGGAACTCACGTTGCGGGGCCGGATGCAGACTCTCTCGTGGACCATGTTCATGCCGGGGACAATCACACTCATCTTCCGAGGCCCCTTAAAACCTAGGACGTTCGTCTCCTGGGAAACAGAACGGGGGCCACCTGAGGACTCTACTTACTCCTGGGGAGGCCGGAAGGGAATAAAGATGATGAACTAGTTCTCAACATCTGCACTTGAACGTCGAAGGGGCATCCCTCGATTCAGCATGTCCAGAATCAAGCTCCTGAGTCTCTGCCCGAACTAGTCCCACTCTCAGATCTCCGATTCACTTCACAGCACCTCAGGCAGACCACCTGGGGTCCTGCCGGATGCCTGCCTCTCATATCCTACCTTCCCACCCATCAGCTAACACTGTCCGCGCCACCTTCAATCACAGCAAGGATCCCATCGCTCCTCACCACCACCGTCGCTCACTGAGGTCCCAGTAACTGCAAAGGTCCCCTTGTTTCCATCCCTGACCCCTCTCCCCCTCCCCCCGTCACCTGGTCTCCCACAGCAGCCAGCGGTCCGGTAGGTCCCATGGCTTTCCTCCCTAGTGCAGATTGAATGCTGGAGGTCTTACCTCAACCTGCAGGGGGCCTCACAGGACTCGGCCCTGCTGCCTCCACCCCTCCATTTATGCCCCGCCCCCTCACTCACTGCACGCCCCTCTGCCCAACACCTACGTGCCACTCTCACTTCCTTCTGGGTGCCACCCAGGGCTGCCTCAGGGAGGTCCTCCCTGCAGCCTTCCTCAGAGCTCAGCCACACCTGCACACTTCACAGCCCTCCCTCTTTCCTATTTTATTTTTTCATCTTAGCATTTATCAGGAATGTGTTTATTTTTGCTTATATGTATACTCCCCTTTATAGATTATCTCCCCTACTAAGAGTTTAAGTCCTGTAAGAGTATAAATTATGCCTCTCTTGTTCATTACGACATCATCAGTGCCTCCAACAGTACCTGGAACATAGCTGGGGCTCAGGTTTGAAGCGATTCGGGCTGCCTCCCCAAAGTTGACCAGCAGGTGGCACCATAGGATCGTACAAAAACAGCACAACAGCTGCGGATTCCCAATGAAGGGGCGCGTGGGGCAGCTAGTTCCCACGCCCAGGCTGATGGAGATACCAGTCCCTCATTTTAAAATGAGGTGAAATCCCAGTACTTGTATTCCAGTTTGGCCACTTATGAGCTGTATGACATTGGCTAGTGACCCAACCTCTGAGCTTCAGATTCCTCATCTACATGATAATAAAATAGGATGGAGCTCTTAGACTGAGCATTCAGTGAGACCATTACAAAAAGGACCTTGGAGTCCTTGCCGTGGGCAGGGGGCAGCCTGAAGGGATACATAGACAAGAGCCCGGGGCTCCTGCCCCTGCATTCCGGGCGGCCCAGGCCCCACAGCTCTCCCAGGCAGGGGCCACTGCACCGAGGACAGCCCACCTCTCTGAAGCCTGTCTACCCACAAAGACAGAAGGGACAGCCCACAGGTCAGGCAGCAAGGCCTGGATGTCACATCTACCTTGCGGACCAGGGACCCAGGACTCACGTAACACACAGCTGCCAGCTCCTGACGAAAAGTTGCGCTTTCCAGAGGAGAGGATGCCTTCTGAGGGTTGACCCCATTGTCATACACGGTGAACTTAGTGCCCATGAGGTTGGACCTGCAGGACAGGCAGTCAGCACTGGGCCACCCACCCTCTGCCCCAGGGCAGCAAACGGCTACCTGTGTGTCCTGGGAGGGGCCTGCAAAGCAGTCTGGGCAGAGCTGGGAGTCGACCTGGGGGCGCACTGCTCACTGAATTCCCCTCTTTAAGGGCAAAGGGCCTGGACTTGCGCCGAGTTGAATCAAAGAGCATCTAGGTGCAGTGAGGGGAATCTGGGAGGTCTGGGTTCCACAGAATGTCGCCCTGGAGGTACAGCCGTGAGTGCACAGAACAGCACCTGGCAGGACAGCAGAGGGGACGCAGCCCACCATGGAGACCAGGTAAGGTGACCTCCTGTCTGTCCTGGCCAGCCTGTGAGTCTTGGTCCAGCCCCATCTCCACAGCTTTCTTACCTCTAAGCTTGATTCACGTCCCCAAACCTGGCATTGCTGCTCAGCAAGCCCTCCGCCCCGGGGCAAGCTCAGAGCCTGCCCCTCGCCCCAGGGTTGCTCTCGCTTCCACCAAGGACCGATTCTCGCCTTGTCCCTCAGCTCTGACCACGGGCCAAGGGGACCCCTCCAGGGTGGCTCACATCATCAGTGACAACCTGGGGTTCGCTCTCTCACTCTCGGTGGGCCTGTGCCCCCCACCCCCCACTGGGGGCAGCTCAGAGCAGGGTGTATGAGGCCCATCTCCCAGTCTGGCTCAAGGCTGGCACGGAGCCAACAGTTGGACCTGCGGGACAAGAAGATCCAGGGAGAGGACCCGACTCCTGGCCTAGAGCAAGACGAGGAGCCTTCTAGGGAGCCCGCCCCAGCCCCTTCCCTGGGGAGAGCCGGTACCGCAGTTTCCCCACGTAGCTGTCCCCTCCTCGAGACAAGTCTGTTGGGTCCATGGAGATGAGGTAATTGGACGTTTTGCTCTTCTTCCTCTTCCTTCCCGCCAGGAGGAACACCTGGGGGAGTAGAGCAAGTTCACCTTCCTGGTCCAGCCCGTGGTCCACACACAATCAGGGGTGCTCGCACGGGGACTCTTCGTCAGCTCTGAACACAGCGTGCACGCGCACACACACACACACACACACACTGGCAAGCACAAGGCTGCACGGAGACCAGGCTCCAGGCTCCTGTCTCTGGGGGAACTGAGAGGTCGGTGCTGGGTCTGAGGCACCGCCACATCCCAGCCCGCAGGAGCCCAGCCTGCCCAGGTGAACGCACGCCCGGGCTGGCCCCACCTTCTTCCCGTCCTCTCGGTCCAGGTGCAGGAAGTAGGTGGGGTACATCCCTCGGTCCATCCCCTTCTTGTCCCGCGTGATGCGGCACTTGATGGTGATGCCCTGAGGGGCCGGCCGCAGCGCAAACTCCTCAAGATCCTGCACCTCGATCTCCACTGAAGGCTCTGGGGCTGTCGGGCTGGGGGCCGAGGCTGCCTCCTACAGGGGACAGAGCAAGAGCCTGAGCCCTGGGGGCCCTGAGCAGCTGAAATTGGGGGCCCGGGGTCCAGAGCTGGCCCCTGACGTGGTGGTGTTGGTGGGAGATGGGGCAGAGCCCTCCCCTCCCTCCACCACACCTGGGGGCAGGTTCTCAGAGGTCATCCTGCCGGACTCGGGCTCCCCCGCCCCCTGCCCAGCCTGGCTGAAGAGGATGGGAGGGAGGGCAGGAGGTCAGGGGAGCCCAGGCCAGAGCAGCTCTAGACAGGCGGCTGGGCCCAGCGCCTGATGAGCCAGTCACCGTCCTCTCTCCACACTCATCCCCTCCCGCTGGACGACCAGCCCCCGGCACAGGCTGCCACCTTCCTCACTCACCCGGGTGGACTTCTTGCTAGTAGCGGAGCTGGGGCGGGTGTTGCTGTTTAGCTGGGAGGAGCTGGAGCTGTTCTCGTCTTCATCGTCCTCCTCCTCCTCAAAGCTCATGCTGCTAGAGACGCCTGGGCCAGGTGGAGGGGAAGGAAGGGATGACGGTCACATGCACACCCAGGCGGACGTCTGCTCGCAGGCACTGAGCCATCCGCGCCTGCGTGCGCGCGCACACACAGGCCGAATGTGCACACGCGCATTCACGCACGCACCCCCACACACACCCCCATATACACGAGGACACGCACTCTCCCAGGTGCACGCGCCACGCCCGTCTGTGGGGCAGCAGCCGGAGGAGCTGACCCTGTGCCGGGAGCCCCCGTTTCAGGGTTACCGAAGGCCTTGGCAGGTGCCTGCCTGGGGAAGGCCCAGCCTCTCGCTCAGCCTGACACGCAGGGCTGGTGCCTCCTCTGTGTGCATCTCCCCACCCGAATGCTGTCTCCGGCCTCACGTTTCCCCAGCAGCCCTTTCTCCAGGAAGCTGTCCCTGATCTGATTCCTCAGGATGTGGGGCACTGCTGGGCTTCCCTCCGACGCCACGCGCCAGGCCTCCCTGCGGCAGGGGCCCTGGGGAAGGAGCTATCTGGGCAGCAGGTTTCCTGGGAGGGTCCGCCCTGCCTCTGGGCATCCTGGTCCTGCTCCTCTAGCTCGGCAGATAGGGGAACATTTTACAAAAGGAGCTTTTTCAAAGGAACTGAAGGGAAAGGAAACTGGGCCTCCCTAGGGACAGGTGACATGGATGGGGAAGACAGTGCTGGTTACCCTAGTTCATACTTCTCTTAACGTGGCCTTCAGGAGCCCCTGCCCCAGTTTCTCACTGGTCCCCAAGTGTGCCGTGCCCGCCCCCACCAGGGTCTGGGAGGGGCTGGAATAGACACAGGAAGGCCGTGCTCCCCAAGAAGGGTGCACCTGAGAACCTGGGACTGAGCTTTGGGGGTGTCACTGGACCCCCATAGGGCTCACCCTTCCTCAGCATCGTGGCACGGAGGTCCTGCCCGCTGGGCCGTGCGCCCCCACCAGCTGCAGTCGCCCCTGTGTCCTGGGCGTGGTCCGACTGGCCCACAGTCAGGATCTGCACTGGGCCTCGGGCCTCGGACTTGTCTTCTGCCAGAGCCACTGGCCCGCCGGTGCCTGCAGGCCACGGGCACTCCTGAGTCCCGTCACGGGCAGGGGGAGGGGAGAGCTGGATCCACAGACGTCCATGAAGTGGGCGAGGGGTGAGAAGGGGGACCCTCTGGGAAACTATTTGCAAAGCTGACTTTAAAAATTAATGATTGCTCTCAGTGTCCTAAAGGTGGGTAAGCTGGGATGGAACACGAGTTTGTTGCTTGTGCTGTTCCCCCATATTGGTTGCCGAGGGCTGGTGTGAAGTGCCTCACACCCCTAGGAAGATGGCGGCCGTCTACACAGCCAACTGCACAGTGAGGAAGACAAAGCGCAGAGAAAGGGCCCGTCCTGGCCGCAGACCACCTCTCGTTCACGGGCACAGGCAGCCCCCTAGTGCTGGTGTTCGTTCTCTCTCAGACACGCACACGCACAGGAAACTCACGCACCATTAACAACACACGGGGCCCCTGCCCTGGCTGCTGGGGCTCAGTGGATGGACTGCCAGACTGTGAAGCCAAAGGTCACCCACCAGTTCAACTCCCAGTCAGGACACACGCCTGGGTTGCGGGCCAGGTCCCCAGTAGGGGGCACTCGAGAGGCAACCACACACTGATGTCTCTCTCCCTCTCTTTCTCCCTCCCTTCCCCCTCTCTAAAAAAATAAATAAAATCTTAAAAAACAAAAACCAACAAACAAAAAAGACACACGCACACAGGGCCCCTTGAAAAAGGCTGAGGCGGGCAGACCCTCGCCTTCCCAGACGGAGGCCCATGGCAACCTTCTTCACCAAGCTGCCGCAGCTTCAGTAACAGAAGCGAGGCCTGGCGCCCACAGACGGCAGCCACCCTGAGTGGGCGGGCTGTCCTAAAAGCAGCAGTCAGCTCCAGAAACCTACAGACTGGCACCCCACTGTCCCACCGTGACCAGAGGCCCGGAGATGGGACTCGGGGCGGGGGCCACCGTAAGCATCCTCGATCGCTGAGGATCTCTTCAGAGCGACAGGAACAGGGACACAGGCTGGTGTGCGGGGCCAGGGGGTGGACCTGGGGCGAGAATCACGGAGCCCACGTGATGGGTGGGGGGCTGCCCGAGGGTGGGCTGGCTTGCCTGGGAGGCAGGGGGCCCCACGGGACGGAGTGTCCTGGGTCAGGATGGAGGTGAGGGTTCTCGGGCAGGGCAAGGGCTCCTGGGCCAGAGCCGGGCTGGACTTCACTTCCTGGCCACCTGGAGGGCCTGCCCCACACCCGCAGGCCAGCCCAGGAGCTCCACGAGCCAGATGAGGCCTGTGAGCCAGCCAGCTGGGTGGGGCCCTGAGTGCATCTGGTGCCTGCACGGGGTGGGGTAGGGGGGCTCCCACCCCGCCCCTCCAGGTCAGGAAGATAAGCCTCCCCTAACCCTCGGTGGGGGCCAGGCTCTGATGCAGAGCTGCAGGGAGGGTGAGCCAACCTTTGTGCTTCCCCTTCTTCTCCTTCCTCGAGGCCCCGCCCTGGCCCCCCGTGGCTGCTGCTGCCTTGGTTCTCTTGGCTGAAGCTGGTGCTGTTGAGCGGGTGGCTCCCAGCTGCACACTAGCCAGTGAGTCGGCCTCTTGAACTGCTTAGGAAAGAGCCGAGACAGAGAGAGAAACAGGCAGTAGGTAAGACCAGAGCTCCTCACACTACTCAGCACATTTCCCAGCCCTCCCCCGCACTGAGCCCTAGCAGGGCCTCTGTACCCCCCATCTCTACCAGGTGTAGGTGCTGGAGGCGGCACCCCCAGCCTGCCCGTTCCACCATAACCGAGAAGCAGAGCCGTTGAAGCTCTGGGCCAGCAAACCAACTGGGCCTGGGCAGGGGGAGGGAGAGCATCTGGGAGAATGTGGGTCATGAAGGAGGTGGACGAAGACAGAAAAGGCTGCACGTCTTGGAAGAGACCACAGCGAGAGCAAGCACTGGAGGGGGCCTGCCCAGCAGCCCAGGTGCGGAGCACCCTGAGGCAGGACCGCCACTCGGGACACAGGGAGCTGCACACACTGAAGAGGTCTCGGAAGGGTCGCAGCTGGGCAGCCTCCACGCTCTCCCGTGTTGGAACCCAGCTTGCCCTGAGTACCGGGACAGTTTCTCACAGTGCTTACGTACGACAAAGACCAACGTTCTCCTGTAAGTCTGGTTCCCCCAACTCCCTCCCCCTGGCTCGGCCTAACTGCTCACGCCTCACCTCTGGGCCCCTGCCCCACGTCCCCGGGCACACCACGCTCCTCAGTGCCTCGTGCCCACTGGACTACTTCTGGCCGCAGGGGCCTTGCCCTGGCTGTCCCACTGCCCGCACGGCCCACCTCATTGCCGCCTCCCACTCCAGCCCCCTTCCTTCTGCAGGCTCGGGCCCCAGGGCAGCCTCCCGGATCCCAGGTCTGGGAGCAGGGGCTCTGCCCTTACCCCACACGGCCGGGAATCCTCCCGCACAGCACACCTGTGACAGATGGTGAGGTCCCCAAGAGAACAGTGACCACGCCCATCTGGTCACCCTGGGTCCCCAGGCTCTGATCCAGAGGCTGACACAAAGTGGGCCCTCAGTAAACATTTAAGGGCCAGATGAATATATAACGTGAATGAGCTTGGCCGGTGGGTCAAAAAGAGTTTACCACGATAAACCCATGGGTTCTGATTTTTGTCCAGCTCCCCTTGTATTTAACACCAAGAACCAGCAGAGGGCAGCGCAGGAGACAGCTGGTGCTGGGGAGGAGGGATCCAGGTGCTCTAAGTAACACCAATCCCAGGTCAGCCAGCCAGCCAGCCCGTGCACAGCAGCCTCTTCAGGGCTGTGTCCACCTCTCAGAGTGGAGCAGGAGAAGCAGCACGACCCAGCCTGCTCTGGACTCTCAGCAGAGAGTAGTGTGCCACTGCTGGACCTTGAAACACACAAGAACTGCTTCAGTGTTCAAAGTCTGGAGACAGAGAATTCTCCTTGTGCAAGGAGGAAGCAAACCCAGACAGGGTCAGTGTCTTGCTCACAATCACCAGGGAGCAGGTGGCCGGCAGCGGCTGCCAGAAACTCTGTCTTCTGACTGTGGTCCTTTTTGCAGGCCTGACCCACATTTCAGAGCTTAGGAAACTCCTGCCAGAATGACTGCACATCGGCGACGTCTCAGACTCTCTCAAAGCCTCAAGACGCTGGCCCGTAGCCCAAACTGGTGGGGCCCGGAGTCCCAGGAGCAGGCTCCCAGCCCATGTGCAGCCTCCAGCAGTCAGGTGCCCGGCTTGGCAGAGCTGGGGCCGTGCTGCCCACAGGGCAGCAGGCCAGGCTCCACAACGGCAGGCACCCTCTCTGCAGGGCACCCCTGCTCCCCCTGGGACAGTGCTCGCGGGGGAAGAGTGAGGGGGTGTCGGCCGGGAAAGGGCAGGGCGAGGGGGCCAGGGGCCGGGTCTGTGTGCAGCAGCCTGAGCTGCCTGTCTGAGGCAGCAGCGCTGGGCCCAGGTCCCCGTCCCCTTCCTCTGCAGGGCCTCTCAGACGGGGTGCAGACACACGGGCTGAGGCCCTGGGTGCTGACGCCCACACAGCAGAATTACTACCATGGACCTTCCACCCGGGAGGCAACTTCAACCAGGTGGAAAGGCCATTTGGAGTCCGATGGGCCTGGGTTCAAAGCCTTGCCCCGACGCTCACTAGCAATGTGCCAGGGGCAAATCGATGGCGCCCCAGGAGCACAAGTGCTTACAGATCGTGGGCGACAGTGAGTCACTGTGGGGAATGAATGAGATAATGCAGGTAGAGCGCCTAGCACCATGCTGCGCCACTGGCAGAGGCCTTGTCCAGAGTGCTGCGCTGGCGCTGGGCACGAGGTGCTGCCCTCCAGGGCAGAGAACTGGCAGAACCTGAGACCCTGAGGCGCCGTGGGGCTGGGGAGAGGAGTGGCGGGTGGAGGATGGGGCCAGCAGTTAGATGAGAACCGTTAGCCCTGAGCTGACAGATGGCTACCAGCAGCTCAAAGTGGCTGGAGGCTGCAGGTCCTGAAGAACATCAGGTTCCTTCCAACTGCAAAGGCCAGGGGCCACTTCTCAGGACCACCAACCAACAGAAAAGTCCCTGGGATTACCTGGACCAGCAGGAGGTTGGGGCGTGGTGACTGGGTCTGAGGCCCGCCTTTGGGATCAGAGACACCAACCCTCTGTTTCTGCCCTGGGTACTCTTACCCTAACCTACAGGAGGCGGGGACCCTAGTTCAGGAAGCCACCCGTCCCTGCACCCCTAGCATGAGCTGCAGAGAATCTTCCCCCCACCCCCAATCTATGGGCTCTTCAGAGAAGCAAGTGTGCGAAGACGGAGAGCTGGAGGCTGCTGGTCATCACGGCACGAGCAGGGCCCACCAGTAGGAAGCCAGGCCAACTGAAGGTGCGGGCGCCCGGGGAGAGGGGCAGTGTGTGTCTGTCCACCGAGACACAAGCTGGGAGCTGGTGTTGGCTGTTAAGAGGGACTCTTCTCAGGAGGCAGAACATGGATGGGGAGCGGTCAGTTCTGCTCCGAGGAGCTGCTGCCTGTTCTCAGTGAACCTCTCCAGGTCACAAACTGGACTTCTGACCTCCCAGATCCACCAGGTTTTAGCCTGTGGCTCCAGCACCTGACCCAGGAGCCCAGGGCCCCAGGTGCCCGCCTCCCTCCGCCCAACCCCTTGCTGTGCACCTGGGCTGGGAGTCATGCTCAGCCTGCACACGCCCAGCAGAGGACCCCTGCCCGCCCTGATCAGCACAAGGCCCCGGGACTGGCTATCCCAAGGGCGGGGCGTACCTTGGTAGCTGGTGCTGCCACTGCTGCTGAGGTAGGACTCCACCAGGGGGGCCTGCTCCTCCGACTGCCGGGCCCGCCGGCTTCGGGGCCGCCCGTCGGCATTGGCCTGCACCATCAAGGGCTCCTGGCGCTTCTTCTTCTGCTTCTGCTCCAGCAGGGCCCGCTGCAGAGGCAGCGGACAGGCACGGAGGTCACTGGGCTGGAGAGGGCAGCCCACCGCCCACCCCATGAGGTTGGGGGGGGCTCCCACACTGCTTGCTCAGCTCACTTCTGGAGGTCACAAGGGGGTCCAAAGCCCACTCAGGGTCAAGGCCGCATGTTCCTGGTGCCCCAAGACATAGAGTCCAGGAGAAGGAGGCAAAACTCAGTCCAGGGAGCTGTCCTGGCAGGGCCACAGCATGGACACGCAGCCCCCAACCGCAGCCCCCCAGCTGCCTGCTGGCCGAAGCCCCATGTGCTGGTCCGTGCCGAGCTGGGCGGGTAAAGGAGAAAGCTGCTTCCGGGAGGGCCCGCTCCCCACCAGTCAGGATCCCCCCAGGACAGGGACAGCCCCCACTCTGCACCCCACAGATCCCAGCCTGGACTCTGGCAGGGATGGCGAGGGCTGGCTACCCTTCCACCCGGCCCCAGCCCCACTCACCTGCCGGTCAAGCTTCTGCTGCCTCAGGTTGCTGCCCTCATCATCTAAGACACTGTGGAGGGAGAGGGGGGCACTCAGAGCCTGTCCACGAGGGGCCAGGATGTCGCCCAGAGCCCACCCGGCACATCTGGGTTCTTTAAACCCCTCCCACCAAGGCTGCTGTCCACACGGCAGAGAGGGAGGGAAAGGCTAGCACCTGGGAACCAGCTCGAGACAGAGAGGCCTGAGCCATATTTCTGCTGCTCTGGGAGCTCATCTTCCACTGGGTTCCCCGCTGCCCCAAGGACCACCCCCCGCATCAGCCTGGCCCCCGTGAGCACAGGACACTTCCCCCTTGGGCCTGTGAGCAGGGCCTGGCTGGGCTCCAGGGGAACCTGTCGAGGCCTCGGGCACAAGCCAGGCCCAAGGCCAAGGCTTTGGACCAGGGGTGGCTCCCTTGGGCCCCTCCCAGGTCTCAGCAGCTCGTCCCCTTGTCTTTCGTCCTTTCTGGAGAAAGCTGGGTCCTCCAGGGCAGACCCTGGCCCCATGTGTCCAGAGCAAACTCCTGGCTCTCCAGGTGGCAGAGCGGTGCTGACGCTGCCCACTGGGGCTGAGGGACCCATCACTAGGGGGAGTGAGGCCAAGCAACCAATCAGTCGCTCAGGGCGGGGCTGGGGCCGGGTGGGGACAGCAACACGTGGGCCAGCAACCAGCCACATGGCACAGACACGGCACAGACATGGTACCAGGCAGCAGCCGAGCATCAAAGCCTGGAGTTCCTGAGGTGCTGAGACAGGCAGCGCTGCCTCACCCAGACTGGCCCTGCCTCCCAGGAAGGCAGAGTACAAGTAGGGAGCTGGTAATTTAAACCACTAAGTTTTCTTTCTAGTCCAGGACATGCCTGGGCCCTGGGCCCAAATTCTATGACCCAAGGTCAGACAGCTGCCTGCAGTGGGGCTGGAGCCTGAGGGCCTGAGCTGTGGGAAGCCCCAGGCTGCCCTGGCCAGTTACATGCCCGATGCACGAGGTTTGTGTGTGAGGCTGTGCGGCTATCTCGAGCATGTGCCCACACGCTCGGAGGTGTCCAAAAGTGTGAGCGCATCTACCTGGTTGAGCACATACCTGCATATATGTGCATGCACATGACTGTGTAAAAGGTGGGTGTGCTTGTGTGCCGGGGAGCACTGTGCGTGCAGGGGAAGAGGAGGTCAGCTCGCCCCCGGGACACGGCGGAGCCATCTCCAACTCCTCCTGGCAGCGGCAGCCGCAGCCCTCCTGGCTGAGATATTCACTGACCCGAAATGTCCCCTGAGCTCATGCAAACTATTGCATCTCTGTGGCTTGTGGGGCTGGCCAGAGAAGAGCGGGCAGTCCATGATCACAGATGGCCCACCACCCACCTCCCTGGCCACAACCAGTGAGGACTCTGCATATTTTAAACTGCCAGCATCCTATCGCCTTGCCATCCAGGAGGGCCTTTTCCTAGATGCATGGGCTGCTCTGCACTCAGAGGAGCCCTTTGTGACCTGTGCACAGAACAGCCTTATTCGCCAGAACCCCAGCTGCACCAGCACCGGAGAAAACACTGCTCACAGACTTCAGTTTTCCTGCCCTCACCCACCTGCCTAACAGCAGCACACAGGAGCACTGGGAGCCCCTGAGGGCGCTGCCAGGACCAGGGGGCAGGGAACCAGCTCTGCCACAAAGCTCGGGCCAGCTGGGATGGTGAGTGTCCCGTCACGGAAGTCGCGCACACGGGCTGGAGGGCAGCGGCAGGGCGGCCGAAGGAAGGGGGAAGGTGTGAGAGTGAGCAAGGTGCCGGGGCCCCTCCAGGTCTAGGAGACTACAGCTCCTCCACCTGTCTCTCCATGAATCACGGCCCTGCCTGAATAACACAAAGGCAAAGCATCTGTTTGCACACTGCCCTCAAAGGGCCAGTTCCACCAGCACCGTCCACCATGGTCTGCAGGGCGAGCAGTGCACACTCATCCACTGTTTCCACGACGCTGGCAAACTGCAGCTGGCTCTGTGTGACACCTGGCTGACGGGAGCAACGGGCTCGAGGCCCAGCTGCACTCTGCTCGCCAGGCTCCGAGCCTGGGCATGCACGGGGCAGCCTGCAGCCTCGGGCACCTGCTCGTGGCCTGGCCACAGGAGCCGTGGCGCCTCCACAGCATGGTGCTGGCTCCCCTTCGTGCTCGAGAGAAAGGCTGTCCCATGGCTACTGGGGATGATGCCAGCTGCCTGCACTTTCACAGGGTGGGGAAGGCGGCTGCGGGCCGCCATCTGGGTCATCCCCGGCACTGCGCTTGGCTGAACAGGAAAAGGTGACTTCCCCGGAGCACGGGTCATTTAGAAAAGGGGACGTCCAGCTGAGAGGAAAGCTCACATCAGCAAAGCCACCCGCGGAACTGCCAGGTCACAGTGGCTGCCCGACTGACAGAGGGGGTGCTGGCCATGGTGCCCGCACTGCCCGGCGCCCCCTCAGGCCCTTATCTATGCGTGAGCGGTGTTTTCCTGCCACGGACCATTGCCCCCTGCCACGGGCTTTCCTCACCACGCCTAGGGAGGGAGGCTGCTTTCCATGAGAACATTACTTCCTCTTCCTGTGTCCCCACCTCCATCTCCTGATGGGGGACAATGCAGAGAGCCGCAGACTTTAATAACACAGGTGCCCAGTGCCCTGCCCTGGCCGAGTAGCCCAGTCGTCCTGATACACCAAGGTTGCAGGTTTTTTAAAAATATATTTTATTCATTTTTATTTTTAGAGAGAAAGAGAAAGGAGGAGAAAAACATCACTGTGTGGTTGCCCCTTGTGTGCCCCCTACTGGGGACCTGGCCTGCAACCCAGGCATGTGCCCTGACTAGGAATCGAACCAGCAACCCTTCGGTTTGCAGGCCTGTGCTCAAACCGCTGAGCAACGCCAGCTGGGGCCCAAGGTTGCAGGTTTGGTCCCTGGTCAGAGTACATACAAGAAACAGCCAGTGAGGCTGTGCACAGAACAGCCTTATTCGCCAAAACCCCTGCTGCCCCAGCACTGGAGGAAACACCGGCGCACACACCGGCACACAAATAGGTGGAACAACAGATCAGTGTTTCTCTGTCCCTTCCTCTCTCTCTCTCTGTAAAATCAATTTAAAAAGAAAAAATAGTAACACAAGTCCCCAGATAAGATTACAGGTAGAACAGACTTAACCACCCGCCTTCAGAGGGGCCAGGCTTCTAGAGAATTCCAGAAACTCAGGCATCCTGAAGTGCCCAGAGAGAAGGCGGCGGCTCCATACCCTGCCTTACCACCAAGAGCAGCGGGAAGAATGGGGCGCGGGGCTGCGGGCGGCTGCTGGGGAGGAGCGACAGTGCTGGTGGCTGTGAGCGTGCCTGGCCGGGTAAAAACCCCGGAGGAGGTCTCCCCTGGAGCAGGCACCATGGTGGGGTGAAGAGGTTCCCAGGACAGCGCAGTGTTTCCAGTGGGGCTGCACAGGTCCCAGCGGACCACAGACACCAAGCGGGAACCAGCTTGTCCCAGCGGGCGGCGGGTTGCTGCCTCACGCGGATGTGTCTGGAGCGCAGTGCACCTGTCCCTGCTGAGTAACAGAGGCGTGCAGTGGAGGACAATGACGACGGCTGTCTCCTGTCTCCAGGGAGAACGGAGCCCCAGCTTCTGCGCCCTCCTCAGCAGACCCAGCCCCGCCCCCCACCGACGGGTCGGCCTTCTCGTCTCCCACTCCAGCACCTTTCCTCGCATCTTCCTCGCTCACAAACACGCCCAGCCCGTCTGCTTTTGACAGGCGCTGTTCACGCGAAAGGACAACCACGAGAAGAGACAGTAATGGCTTTTTAACGACTCGGGCTCCACTTATGGAATCGCTGCCAAGCCCAGGCTGCCAGCTGCCGCCCCGCCAGGAGGCTCAGACGGGAGACAGGGCCCTGATGGATGGGTCTTCCGGCTGACCCTGGTGGCTCCTTCCACACCGTCGCCTCCTGCCCTCACCTCCAGCTGGGGGGCAGGCCAGGGAGGCGCCCGAACACACCGGCCACTGGCTCATGAGGGTCAAACCTGGTCCATCAATCCGTGCGCTCTGCCCAGAGCCTCCAACCCTCAGGGAGGCAGCCCCTCCATGTCCCCGGGCTTCCCCTGGGGCCGGACAGAATCCGAGGGGCCGTGCTGGGCAACAAATGAGGGCAGGTGCCCTCCCCCCAGCCCGGGGGCTGGAGAAACCAGACACACCCAAGACATTTAGGAAGCTGGTTACCCTGCTTCTTAGATGCAACATGCCTGCTCCGGCTAATCCACCTGAGCTGACCACAGGCCCGGGACCAGGCCAACCTGGGGGCAGAACCAGACCCACTTCGTCCTTCCCACGCGGTCACAGCGGAAGCTGCCCCCGCTGGACCCAGGGCAAAGGGGAGTGAGGAGGGAAGACCACCCCGGGTGCCAGACGCCCTCCATGCCCCCGCAGCTCGCCCAGGCCCCTGCCGCCTGCTGCAGCGCCTGTCAGCTGTGCCGCCCCACTGCGCACACACCCGTTACTGCAAGTCTGCCGCACACCGAAACATGCTGTTTGCCGAGCTGATTGTCAAAAAGGTATGATTTTGATTTGTTCCCATGGACAGCTATTGCTATGCTGTCTGTTGTCCTTGTTTCACCGGACAATCTAAGAGAAAACAGGTCAGCGCCCCCGACGAAACAGTCAGGTGCGGGGCATGTTTTAGGAATTCCTGCGTCAGGCCAGCAGAGAGCTGCTGCCCTAGCGGTGGAGACTGCAGTGCAGGCGGGAACGCAGCGGGAACGGGGTGGGACGCCCGGCAGCTCCAGAAGGGAGGGGCCGCGCCGCTCACAGGAGTCCCAGGCTCTAGGGATGAGGTGTCCGCATTCCCGCCCTGCCTCACAGCCTCACCAGGTGCAGCAAAACTGCTGGGGGCACTCGGCCCTGCCCGGGCAGTTTCGGGACTGCTGGGAAAGATGCCCCGGGCTCACTCCCCGCCCCCACTCTCTCTTGAACAGCAAGCGACACCGGTGACGCTGATGTGTGGCCATGCGGCTGAGGACCCTGAGCCACAGGTGCTGACCTCTCCGAAACAAAAAAGAACTCGGGGAGTCGCTACGAGGCTGGAGTTGTGCAAATGCAGCCTTATGTTCAGATGGGTAAGAAACTGCAGTCTGTGGATCGGTGTGTCCACTCGGGCCTCAGGCAAGACTGTGAAGGGGCCCACCGAGCAGCTGGACGGGTGGTCAGCATAGCTAGAAGGCAAGTGGCCATGAGGAGCAAGCCCGAGTTCCCAGCAAGTCAGGGTGCATGTCTTCAGGCCCATCGGAAAAGGGTCTGCGTGGAATGGCAGGGACCAGCAAACGATAACATCTGTGGGCAAGCGGCATGCTAGTCCACTGAGACAGACACTCACAGGAGGTTTCTGCCAGAGTCACAGGAGGTTTCTAGCATCTTGCTTCTCTTGGTTGGCATGTTTACCAACCACCTGAAGACATGGCAGGCCTCTGCAGTGACACAAAGTTGATGCAGCACCAACCTGGCCGCTAAGACAGTAGGAATTCAGAAGACCTTGAAAAGCTACCAAAGGTTACGATGAGCAGAAATCTAGCAGGTGAAGGTCAAGTCTACTCTACCGTGCGGGTCCTAACACCCAGGTCTTGCCTACACAGGCAGGATGGGGCTTGATGTCAGCCAGAGGGAAGACTTGGGGATTTGTTTACAGAGGCCTCAAGGTTCCTGGTCAGTGCGTCCAGGCCATCCCATGGCACAGGGAGGGGCCAGGAGCAGGGGTCCCGAGGGAGGAAACAGCAGCCTCACTCTGCTCCTGCTGCACAGGCTACGCCTGGGACAGATGCTGCCCGTGGCTGCTGGACCCGGGCTGGGCGCGGGCAGAGCCGGCTGCGGGCATCCAGAGGGCCCCTGTCTGCCTTGTGTTTCCTCTGCTCCTCCCACCCCAGGCGGAGGACACCCTAAGAATGCTTGGGGAAGGCGTGGAGACAGATTCCCCGTGGATGTAGGAGCACAGGTTCTGCTCCTTCTCCCTGTACCAGGTCTGGGGACTGGGGCTCCCCAAAGGCAGAACCTGGAGAGCCAGGAGTCTCGCTTAGCCAGTTGTCATTCTGCTCCCCAGCACGCAGAGTGAGGGAGTGGCGGGAGGATCCCAACAAGGGCCAAGGGGAGGGGAACCCAGAGACAAGCTCAGGCTCACCCTCAGGAAGCCCTTCCTAAGAGTCACGGCTGGTATCTGCTAGAAGGCTGTCCCCAGCGTGCCCCGGGAGCAGTCACACAGGGCGCCCTTGCAGCCGCCCCGCCAGGAAGCCCCACTGTGAAGCAGGAGTGCCACATCCCTCTGGGTGCGGAGAACCTGGGTGGGGCCAGGAGAGCCAGGAAGTCCTCAAAAGCTACCTGTGGGCGCCACTTTGAGTCTAAGTAGTGGGCATTCTGCCTGTGCTGGGTCATGCTAGGCACACAGCCACGCACCACATGAAGTCCCTGCTCTCCAGGAGTTCACGGGCTGGTGAGAAAGACAGCAGGCACCGGCAGCCGGGCCAGGGAGACAGCCCCGAGGACAAGGTCACTGTCACTGCCACTGCCACCCAGCACAGTCCCTCCTGACTCTCAGCGCTCCACCTACAACTCACGGTTGTAAGGGCATGAACTAGGGGCACTGAGCACTCCTCGAGAACACAGATGAAGAGAAAACAGCAGAAATGGACTTAGTTGTAATAATAGAAAAAAATAAAAGGCAAATTGTTCCAACTGTTAAACTTTATAAATGAAATGGTTCCTTCTAAAGACAGGATGTGAAGTTAATCCATGATCATTAAAACTGAGCCACGGTCACCCTTAAGAAGATTATCAGCAACTGTCACTGTTTTGAAGGAAATGAGCCAGGCCCGGGGAGCACAGGTGCGAGCACCCAGAGGGGCTGAGCCCCCACCAGCAGAGCTTACGAGAAATCGAGACATCGACAGAGCTCTCGCCACCCGCAAACCAAATGACACATTCCAGCCAACGGGCTGGCTGCGACCGACGTCAGGGAAACCTCACGGTGAAGCCTGAGAATGCGTGCCCATCCCCCGCACCTGCAAGTAAACCGCAGCGCCCGTCGTCTGCCTCGGTCTTCTCTGTGGGCAGCCAGACTGTGGCTGTGACTGCAGTCGGCAGCCCAGTGAATGCAAGAGGCAGGTCCATCTCCTCCTCGCAGCCTGGGTGTCCCCATTCTGGAAGCCAGAACCCACATGCAGCGCTTTCTCAGGCTCAGTGCATGCTCAGAAAGACCCCAGCAGGGCAGGAGAAATTCTGGCAACATCTAAGTACAGCATGCCCCTGCTCTACACCTACCCTCCCTGCCACAGAGCAAGGTGGCCGGGGTGGCAGAGCAATGGGACAGCAAGCAGGGCAGGACCCCGTCGGTGTCAAGCTGCTCCTCAGGACTAGGTTTCCGGGGTGGCAGGATTCTGGACTCAAGGTGGAGTGCGGGCCCCAGAAGGGAACAGGGGCAGGGCTGGGCCTGGGCTGGGTGAGTGCCAAATCACTCCTTGCACGATGCCAGCACCCTGAGCACTGACTGGTGGACAGAGCCATTTCCCAAAGACAGCTCCACATTCCCAGGCCCCACTGTTCCAGAGGCAGAGATTTTCTAAGACCTGTGCAATCACTCCACAACTTGCTTTGGTCTCTGGCTCCTGGGCGTGGCTTCCTTAAACAATGAGCCAGTTTGCCCCCAGTTTGCCAGACGCTAAACACATCACCCCATCCACAGCCACAAGTGCTGCTCTTTCCCTCCCTAAGTTAGCCTGCAGCCACCACCCCACCGCCTGAACCCCCACACAGGTCCTTACACCACAGCACCAGAGGCCACTCAGCCCACACGCACTATCCAAGCACCTCTGCTAGGTGTCAAGAGAACGTTAATGGTACTTTGTGGGGCGGCACTGTCCTCTACAAGGTCAGCCCACATGTGTCAAAAAGCCAGGATGCTCCAGAAACTACCTGTGCCCCCAGTCTAGATGCCCAGCGGAGCAAGAGCTGTTGTGAGTCAGCCTGGCCTGGGCCCCTGATGGAAGGATCTCCCGGGTCTATATGAGACGCTGAGGTGTGGTTGTGCGTGTCTGCAGGAAAAATTATGTGACTTGTGCATTCAAACGTGTGTTGATGGAAGAGGCACCCACAAATTCTAACCTGGAAAGCCGTGAAGCCCCCAAAGGAGTCGGGATTAGAGACAACAATTCTCAAGAAAACCTTGAATCCCTAGGCCAGTGGCAGGTGCTTGTTTGCAGAAAGATCTGCTTTAACAAAGCCTCAGGCGGTTCTAGCTGGTTTCCATTTTGGATGCTGTCTGGACAGACTCACAGAAGAGCTCTGTCAGAATTATTTTCTATCAGTAACTGGAATCGGGTGTCTCCCCCCACCCCCCAACCCGAGAACAGGCTGTTACAAGGCGGATCCTGCAGGCCTGTTTCTACCACCCACAGGCACGTGCACCTGAGTGGGCCAGAACATAGTGGACTCCAGCAGTCAGGGACCCCTTCCACTCACATGCCTCTCCAGGAGGCCCAGAGACGGCCCTGTAGCTCCATGGCAACCAAGGAGCCAATGAGTGGCCAAGGATCTGACGCTGCCATGGCAATGAGCTCCTTTCCGGTGGTAAAGGAGAGAATTGGGTAGAGTGGATGGGGGAAAGGCCTGCACCTCTGTGAAGCCGCAGAGACCTTTCCTCACCCCAACATCCACAAGTGGGAAAGCCCAGCTGTCACTTAGTCACACCACAGTATGGGCTGTGCTTCCCTGAGTGTGCCTGAGCTCCTGAGCGCTCTTTCAGCATGTAAAAGCAGTTCTATGCATTGAGAGTTGGTGTGTGTCCAGATACAGTCCTGATAGCAGGTGGATTTCCGAGTCTCTGACACATATAAATAGTACTTGTGAGTGGGTCGTAGGTATCAAGTACTCTCCAAATATGTGTGTGTACACAAATATGTTGCACCTGTGTAAGCATGTGTGCATGTGTGTACACAGATACACGGTGCATGCGTATACGAGCCACCCGGGCTTGTGATTCAGAAAAACTGTCTCTAGGAATTCACACTGAGTATGTGAGTGGACAGCAGGAGCGTCTGTGGCCCAGGGCGCGAAGTCTCGTGAGTGCATGGCCGCAGATGCAAGGCTATGCTAGCTGTACTGGCCAGTGAGCCGCTGTGCTGGGCCCAGGAGGGGGCTCAGGTCAATTTGTGCGATCTCTCCTGGAGGCCACATGGACCTGCCAGACCCAATAAGGCCCACGCAGGCCCAGAGCACTGGCACCATCCAGCAACCCTGAAGGATAAGGGGTGGAGCAGGGGAGGCAGGTTCAGTCTGCTGGGGCCCCCAAAGTTGGGGTGGGAAGGACAAGCGCCTCCAATTCGCGCTCCCGGTTCTGGGTTAGATGGAGAGGGTAACCCGCGCCTGGGGCCCAGCGCCCTCTACCCTGACCGATGCCCTCAGCAGTGGAGTGTGAGGACCAGCACCCGCGTACCTGTAGGGAATCCAGTCGGAATGCGGCTTGGAAGTCATGTCTCTCGGCGGCACAGCGGCGGCTACGGCTCCGGAGGCCGGGGTCCGCGGGGGCCTGCGCGGGGGCCCTGTTCAGCTCCCGGGCCACCCCGGGCCGCATCCTCCCGGGCCGGGGCGCTGGGCCCCGCCGAGGCCGGCGCCGCACGCCAGGGCCCCGGCCGCAGGCTCGGAGAGCGGCTGCCGGCACGGCGCGGAGAGATGAAAGAAACGGCAGAGCACGCGGGGCAACCGTGCGAGGGCGGGCAGCGCGCGCGCGGGCGCGTGGAAGTGGGAGAGGTGGACTCCACTGCCCTGCCGCGGCTGCAGCGGCTCCGCCGGCGCCGAGGGTAGGAGCACTGCGTGGCGGCGGCGCCGGCCTCTCCTCCTTCGCCCCGCCCCAGCGGAGACCCCACCCCTAGGCCGGCTAAGCACCCCAAATGTTCCTGCCCCCTTCCCGAAACCCGCGAGTCAGGCTCCGCACACGTGACCGCACCAGCACCCGCGCCCACTGTGGGTACGCACCGTCGCTGGGCAGGTCCCCCTCCCTCCCAGCCTCAGTTCCTTCCTCTGTGAAACGGGGATAATTCTAATACCTACCTACCTAGCTCCACTAAGGGAAGGGAAGCCGCTGCTCACGCTGGCGGCGGGGAGGGAGAGAGGTGGGGTGGGGGGAAGCATATGGGTTGTGCGGGTAGGGGGATGATGACCGCAGAGAGCAAAAGAGGTCCAGGGACACCTTCAGGTCCTCAGTATGGAGGCTGCGCCCCGCCCCCACCCGTCCCCCTCCCAGTTCTCACTTTTCCCCAGGAAGCCTTCTTCACTGGATTTTAGTAAAGGACGCCTTTCCTCCCAGCGGAGCGGTCCTTCCTGTCTGAGCTGCAGCAGTTGAGGAAAGGATGGCATGTGCGGTCTACTGCATTCGCGGCCCTTATAAAGTTCCGCATATTAATCTCCACGGTGGCCTTGAGAGGCAAGTATTTCTCTCTAATTCCCAGAAAATAAACCATTGAGAGTGCTAAGATGCCCAAGGACATAAAGCTAGGAAGCAATCGAGCTGAAATGGAAATAGGATCTCAGTCCTGCAAGGCTGTTTTTAGGGGCCACACCACATTTAAAAGGAGCAAAAGCCTCCCAATGAAGATAATCTGAAAGTCTCTGGTACTGAGGAGGCCCTGGCTGTGACCAGTACAAACTTGAAAGGAAGGGGAGGCATGTGGAGGTGGAGGGCAAAGTATCCACGGCGGGGGGGGGCAGGCGATTGGGGAGGGGTCTGCTGAAGGGCAGAGGCTCCGCACCACATGTGAGCACCCTCACATGCTCTCTGGACTCAGCAGCTCCAGCCCCCAGCCATGCCAGAAGAGTGTCCCCGTGGGGTCCTCTGGCACTAACCAGGCTCTCCTGGCTGGTCGGGAGAACGTGTGAGAAGGCTTGCTTGGCTGAGGGAGGGCCCCATCCTGCTGCCCTGAGAACACAGCCAGGACTGTCCACCCAAAACTCTCCCAGCCTTACAGCCTTGCCTTTAGCCATAAAAACAATAAACAAGATATTTGGAGCATTTGCTGAGCATCAGGAGCTGTGTTAGTAACTCCTCTCATCCTCACAATCAGGCCAGGGGATAGGTGCTATTATCATACCCATTTTACAGCAGAAGAAACTGAGGTACAGAGAAGGCAAAGATCTTGCCCCAAGTCACACAGCTGGCCAATGTGGGACTTGAGCTGGATTCACACACAAGCGGCCTAGGTCCAGAGCCACACCCTCCAGCTGCTTCTTGCCTTCCACAGCTTCTGCACGGCACAGGCACACACACGCAGACACAGCCTGTCTCTCGGGGCTGCCGGGGCACAGGCCACGTCCATCGGCTCCATATCCATTTGGCACAGCCTCAACACTCTCTAAAGGTTGTGACTCTTTCTTTATCAACCTCTGTGAGCCATCACTGTTGCTGAGGACACAGAGCAGACAATATAAATCACCCTGGAGTAGAGAGCAGGGGTAGAAGGTGGGCTGTTGCTTGCCTGCTGGGACACGACCTGAGCCTTATTCTCATCCCTGTCGGACTCCCAGGAGGGCCAGCAGAAAGGGAGTGGTCCTGGCCTGAGAGGCCAAGGCAGCACAGGAAAGTGCCACCCAAGGGCCTCTGTCCTCCGGGACCCAGGATCCTGGTACAGAGCCCCGCAGAGACAAGAGGCCAGCCCGGCCCTCCAGACCGCCCCTCCTGAAGCTACAATCAGCAGCTGACTAGAACCTAGAAGACTTCCCATTCAAGAATCTGAGGCTGCTCTTCCCCTTTATTCCCAAATTATGACACCTTAAAGCAATCAGAATTAAGTTGGAAGGTCTCAAGAGCCTGAAGTAATTGAATCTATTAAATAGACACTTTAGATTCCGTCCTAAGGGAGCAAAATCCGGAGGCAGAGTGAGGTGCAAAAATAAGACGGCTCTCCATGTCTCTCTTCCTGTGGCGGCTGTGCCCAGGGACGGGGACGTGGGGTGCGTGGGAGCCAGGGGGACCGCACGCCGGCGGGCGGGCGAGTGAGTGTGAGTGTGCGTGAGGTGGCCCTGCAGTCTGAGTGTGTCTGCACAAGAACATCTGTTGGATGGTGTGCTAACATGTGTGCCTGGGGAAGATCAGAGTGTGTGCTCCTGTGAGTTCTAAGGGGCGTGTATGTGAGTGTTTACTCAGAGCCAGTGGTGAGTATTCCTGTTCAAACGGCTTCCCAGGCTGACATTTTAAGTGTGTGCCCTTGGATTCCATCAGAAAACCGCTTCAGCAAACCGCGTGAGAGCGGCTGCACCAGGCCACGGGCGCAGCACCACTGTGCTATCACGTGACTCTTGAAGAAGGGCCTCAAATGTAGCCCTAGAAACTCGTCATCTCTACTGAAACTTGGCCACACAGCAGGACCAGCATGTTCTCCTCACCACCTGTCCCCGTCCTGCAGGGATGAGGTATTTGCCATGAATTTAAATTATCCTTGCTGCATCTCAGGCATTTTCAAACATGGCCATGATTTGGGGGTGGTGGGGCGGTGAAGGAACGCGGTTGGACTGAAGCAGCCCGCAGGAGACCCTCACAGCTGCCGCCCAGCTGGAGGAAGCCCCGTGCCAGCTCCCCTCAGCAAGACTAGTTCACCCTCCAAGGAGGAAGGCTAGCATTTTGGCAACTTGCTATTTCCACGTGGAGCCTTAAATTTCCTATTTCTAATTTAACAGTTTTATTGCATCTGGGCCACCTCTAGTCCACTTTGGAAGCAAAAGGATATGAATAATAAATGAATTTCCATTCGGATTGAGCACCAAGTCCCAAGGTGCCAGGCCTAGTACCCTGCCTAGCAGCCTGACGCTGTAAACTCGCAGCCTGAGGATGGCTGTTCTGATCAGTCAAACATCGACTGGACCTGACTGGGCCCAGAGGTGCACCCAGGCCTTTGACAGGTGTCGGGCTCCATCTTGCCGCCGCAGGGAGCCGTCAGTCTGGCAGGAGGGATCGGAAGCTTCAAGGTGCTGGTGCTACAATATAGGTACACAAAGTGTGGGTGGCCGGGGACCCAGAGGAGGGGCAGACAATGGTCCCAAAGTGGGGGAAGTCAGGTTAGGACGAGCCCTTCTTGAGGATGAAAAAGGGTGACAGTTGAATTGGGCCTTGAAGGATGAGTAGGGCTTCGACAGACTGATAAGAAAGGGAAAGAGAAGTTCAACAGGTACCAAGATTCTGTGACCGGCCAGGAGCTGTGCTGGGCTTTGCCCAAAGGGCATTCCAGACAGAGAGGATGATATGAGCAAAGCCATGGGGATGGGAGTCTACATGACTGATGCACTTGAAAGCCAAGGTGACAAGCCCTGGTCAGGTAGCTCAGTTGGTCAGTGTCGTCCTGATACGCCAAGGTTGCAGGTTTGATCCCCAATCAGGGCACATACAAGAATCAACCAATGAATGCATAAATAAGTGAAACAACAAATAGATGTTTCTCCATCTTTCTTCCTCTCTCTCTCTCTCCCCCCAAATCAATAAATTAAAAAAAAAAAGAAGAAAAAAAAGAAAACCAAGGTCCAATACAGTGTGGTGGCAGGTAGGTCAGTGTTGCAGTGTGGCAGGAGATGGGCCTAGAAGGTTGAGGTGGGACCAGATCACGTGGCACTCTGAACACCAGCCAGGCTGGGGAGTTTGGATTCTATCCTACACAGCCAACCCGGGACCACTAGAGGGTTTTAAGTCAAGAGTAAACTGCCTGGATTTGCCTTTTGGAAAGATGTAATTAGGAGCAAAATGGGGGACAGAGGGACCCAAGGTCAGAGGCACTGAAAACTGCCAGCTGGCTGTTGGGGGGAGACGAGGGGCCCGAACGGGAGCCCAGCCGGTGCCTCTTCAGACCTGTGGACAGACGGACGCCGTGGCGGCGCAGCTGCGTAGTGTGGGCGGCCAGATGACTTGGGTAACTGCGGAGTACATGCGGACCGCCGTCCCGTTCCCCGTGACTAAAGTGAGATGATGCAGACTCACCGGGGTCTTTGGAAATGTAGGGTAACCACCGGTAGGATTAAAAACAATATGTCTATCATCCAATCACTGCAGAATGACCCCCCGAACCGAGCGCAGGCTGGAGGAGACACAAAACTCACAGCACAGAACCAGGTATAGTCCAGCCTCGGTCCTCCGACATCCTCCTTCTCGAACAACAATCGGTTCTCGACCAGGTCGTTCATGGAAAAAAATGTCTTAGTTGTCGAACAAAACTTCGGTTCTCGACCCGACAACCCTTTCGGGCTGATACCTGTGTGGTCAGTCATGCATTTCTCAGACAACAAAGGAGAACTGGTTTTCAAACAGATCGCTTCTCCAACAGCCTTCTGGGATGAAGGAAGTTCGAGAACCGAGGTTCCGCTGGACTAGGGACAAAGCCGAGTGTAATGGTGATGAAGTGAAGGCGCATGCAGAGCCCATGAGACTGGATCATTAACGGCTGCCACTTGTTGAGTAAGTGCTCCATGCAGGCACTCCTGTACGGGTTCCCTAAAAGCACATGTGGGCATAGGAGGATGAAGAGGAACTCTCCAGCTCAGCCTCCAAATTAATAGATACCACATTCCCAAGTGAGGTGGCATGACACCAGAAGGGACTTGGGAACGAGGCAGCGGAAACCTGGGCCTGCACCGTCAGCCCAGACCCAGCTCCAGGACAGAAAAAACGGGAGAGGCTGGACAAAGGGTTGTTGGAGCTTTAAGAGGAATTTGAGAGAGATCCTTGAAGGACCAGTGAGCCCCAAGGGGTGAAGGGTGTTTGAAGGAGGCCGCCTAAGAGAGCTTACTAGGTGGCCACAACGGTCT